GTTCATTAGGTGCTCTCGAGATATGCGATTTCCTTCCTCAACAGGGTCACGGAAGGCATGCTGACTGCGCTTGTGTCTTTCTTAATGATGGAGAACGCTTCGATGATCTCGCGCGTGCGACAGTCTCTATGGTGTTTGATAATCTCGCATCTGTCAAATGCTGGGACGCAGGCACACGCTGCACAATGCCTGGCTAGGTTGCTGCCAGTGGTCGTTCCCAAAAAGGCGCGGTGTTCTCTCAGACGATCGTTGATGCACCGCCCGGTCTGGCCAACGTACGACCGACCGCACGATAGCGGAACGTCGTACACGACGCCTTCGACACACTCGACGAAAGGATTTGCATGGCTCTTCTGGCATTGCCTGATGGAGGTGGCAGAGGGGTTGGTAGAGTTTACTTTTTTGCACAGACGACCCAGTTTGTTGGGTGGAGAGAAAAGTACCTGAACGCCTGCCTTGGCTCCAACCTTTTTCAGGTTGTGGGACAGGCCATGGATGTAGGGTATGACTGTCCAAGGAGATCTCTTGCGTGTATCTTGAGGCTTGCTAGTGGAGCGACGCGACTCAAGAAGGAGGTTTTCTGCCAGGCTACTCAGCAGAGGTTGCGGGAAGCCTGCGGACAGCAGTCTAACTACTTGGGCGTTGAAGCCTCTCTCAACCTGGTGATGGCAGGATCTTTGAGTGGCATTTTTCATAGCCGCAAGCGCTATTCCTCGCTTCACAAGCTTGGAGTGAGCGGACGAGAACGGCAAGAGCGCCTTTTGCGAACGAGGGGAATACCTCCAACAGACGTGCTCCGCTCCAAACACCAGGATCAGGTCTAGGAACCGCAACTGATTGTCTTCGGTCAGTTCCTTGGTGAGAGTGAAAACACGGAGGTTCGACTTGAAAATTTCAAAGATCTTTTTTACTTGCCGGTGGGTGTCAGCTCCAGAGGTTTGGAACAGCACCAAGAAATCATCGACGTACCGGAACACTCTAGCTACCTTGAAGTCCCGCAGAGATATTTCGAGCAGTCTGTCATAGTAGGCCAACAGCAGATCGCTGAGGACTGGCGCAAGGCACGATCCTATGCATACACCCTTGCGTTGTATATAAAACTGGTCGCAGTACACCACTGATGTAGAGCGCAGATAAAAAAGGAGGAGATCTAGAAAGTCAGCGACACTGACGCCGCATGAGTTCTGAAACTTTATAGTTCCAAACCTGTCGATGCAGTCACTCACGACCTCGCAGAGAAGGTCGTGGGGCAAAGAGTAATAAAGGTCTTTGACGTCAACTGAAAAGCCCTGCAGGTTCCCATCGTGCAGTTGTTCAAGGTAATCGGAAACTGCAGACGGCCTCCTGACCAAGAAGGGGTCATCTAATTCTAAAACAGAAAGCGACTTTTGGAGGAAAGATCCTACCGAGTGCTGCCACGTGCCTCGTTCAGAAACGATAACTCTGAAGGGACAATCGGTCTTGTGGGTCTTGGCCGTGAAAAAGCATTCCAGACTAAGACCTCGGCTGTTCCGTACCGACGTCGCCAGTGTGGTGAGGCCTAATTGCTGGCACTTCTTGATCGCTTCTGCCTTCACCTTTTTTGGGCGATGGTCTTTCAGTGGGCGAAAATTCCCAGTGATTGCTTCTAGGGATTTCTGACTGTAGATCTTGTCCGGTATGACGACAAAGCCTCCTTCTTTGTCAGAAAGGAGTAGTTTCAAGTTTGCCTCGCGGAGCAGGGCAACCGCTTCACCTGTGCGAGCCGGGCAAGGGCTCCTGGGCGAAACTTGCAAGTGCTCTACGCCTTCGAGAATGCATCTGTGCGCTTCCTCACCTTCTGCTTTGGCGGCCCTTCTTCTCACCAAAGAAAATAGTTCGGGCTTGTCTAATTTGATAGGGTTGCAATACTTGGGACCCAGTTGCAGTACGCTGAGCGCCCTGTCAGGAATCTGGGTGTTGCCAAGGACACGAACATCTTGAGCTGGAGGAAGGCGGGGTCTCTTCTTGGGGAGTGAGGCGAGGATAGTGGACCAGAGGAAGTCGGTTGCCTGTGAGGCAGTTCGGAGTTCGAACTGCAGGCGCCTGGAAGCTTGATCTAATGGTCCGTCTCGAAAACAGGCGAATCGAATGCACTCCTTAAAGAGGCGAACCTGACGCCAAGCTTCTGATCTGAGGCTTCGGCAGATCCGGCGACCATGATTGGGCGATGGCGGGAGGGGCCCGACCATGACTGCGATGTCGGGTGGTAGGTACGAATGCTTGATGGAGAAGGCGAGCAGCCGTGCTCGGCAAGATGCTAGGATGAGCAAAGTGACGTGGTTGGAAAGGGAGGAACATAAATTAGGATGGAAAGGGCCCGATGTAGAAGAAATAAACTTGAGCAGTGTGCTTTGATGGGCTAGTTGGTTCATGACTAGATGGAACAGCGCGGAACATAGGACAGAAAGAACAGGACAACACGAGCGCTGACTTACAACTGACTGTTTAATCAGAAGCGAAGGAAGAAGAAGACATAAGAAGCGAAGGAAGAAGAAATAAACTGAAAATAAGGATTAAAATAAGGTTGAAATTAAAATAAGGATTAAAATAAGGTTGAGAGAGGCTTCAACGCCCAAGTAGTTAGACTGCTGTCCGCAGGCTTCCCGCAGCCTCTGCTGAGTAGCCTGGCAGAAAAGCTCCTTCTTGAGTCGCGTCGCTCCACTAGCAAGCCTCAAGATACACGCAAGAGATCTCCTTGGACAGTCATACCCTACATCCATGGCCTGTCCCACAACCTGAAAAAGGTTGGAGCCAAGGCAGGCGCTCAGGTACTTTTGTCTGCACCTAACAAACTGGGTCGTCTGTGCAAAAAAGTAAACTCTACCAACCCCTCTGCCACCTCCATCAGGCAATGCCAGAAGAGCCATGCAAATCCTTTCGTCGAGTGTGTCGAAGGCGTCGTGTACGATGTTCCGCTATCGTGCGGTCGGTCGTACGTTGGCCAGACCGGGCGGTGCATCAACGATCGTCTGAGAGAACACCGCGCCTCTTTGGGAACGATCACTGGCAGCAACCTAGCCAGGCATTGTGCAGCGTGTGCCTGCGTCCCAGCATTTGACAGATGCGAGATTATCAAACACCATAGAGACTGTCGCACGCGCGAGATCATCGAAGCGTTCTCCATCATTAAGAAAGACACAAGCGCAGTCAGCATGCCTTCCGTGACCCTGTTGAGGAAGGAAATCGCATATCTCGAGAGCACTTAATGAACCTTGCTTTTTCTAAAAAGGTATTTTCTTTTCTTCACTTTTGTTTTTGTTTTGCTTTTCCCTCATCTTTTAGTTATTTTCATTGCAAGTATTTTGTTTTAATCCTTATTTTCAGTTTATTTCTTCTTCCTTCGCTTCTTATTTCTTCTTCTTCCTTCGCTTCTCATTAAACAGTCAGTCGTAAGTCAGCGCTCGTGTTGTCCTGTTCTTTCTGTCCTATGTTCCGCGCTGTTCCATCTAGTCATGAACCAACTAGCCCATCAAAGCACACTGCTCAAGTTTATTTCTTCTACATCGGGCCCTTTCCATCCTAATTTATGTTCCTCCCTTTCCAACCACGTCACCTTGCTCATCCTAGCATCTTGCCGAGCACGGCTGCTCGCCTTCTCCATCAAGCATTCCTACCTACCACCCGACATCGCAGTCATGGTCGGGCCCCTCCCGCCATCGCCCAATCATGGTCGCCGGATCTGCCGAATCCTCAGATCAGAAGCTTGGCGTCAGGTTCGCCTCTTTAAGGAGTGCATTCGATTCGCCTGTTTTCGAGACGGACCACCAGATCAAGCTTCCAGGCGCCTGCAGTTCGAACTCCGAACTGCCTCCCAGGCAACCGACTTCCTCTGGTCCACTATCCTCGCCTCACTCCCCAAGAAGAGACCCCGCCTTCCTCCAGCTCAAGATGTTCGTGTCCTTGGCAACACCCAGATTCCTGACAAGGCGCTCAGCGTACTGCAACTGGGTCCCGAGTATTGCAACCCTATCAAATTAGACAAGCCCGAACTATTGTCTTTGGTGAGAAGAACGGCCGCCAAAGCAGAAGGTGAGGAAGCGCACAGATGCATTCTCGAAGGCGTAGAGCACTTGCAAGTTTCGCCCAGGAGCCCTTGCCCGGCTCGCACAGGTGAAGCGGTTGCCCTGCTCCGCGAGGCAAATTTGAAACTACTCCTTTCTGACAAAGAAGGAGGCTTTGTCGTCATACCGGACAAGATCTACAGTCAGAAATCCCTAGAAGCAATCACTGGGAATTTTCGCCCACTGAAAGACCATCGCCCCAAAAAGGTGAAGGCAGAAGCGATCAAGAAGTGCCAGCAATTAGGCCTCACCACACTGGCGACGTCGGTACGGAACAGCCGAGGTCTTAGTCTGGAATGCTTTTTCACGGCCAAGACCCACAAGACCGATTGTCCCTTCAGAGTTATCGTTTCTGAACGAGGCACGTGGCAGCACTCGGTAGGATCTTTCCTCCAAAAGTCGCTTTCTGTTTTAGAATTAGATGACCCCTTCTTGGTCAGGAGGCCGTCTGCAGTTTCCGATTACCTTGAACAACTGCACGATGGGAACCTGCAGGGTTTTTCAGTTGACGTCAAAGACCTTGATTACTCTTTGCCCCACGACCTTCTCTGCGAGGTTGTGAGTGACTGCATCGACAAGTTTGGAACTATAAAGTTTCAGAACTCATGCTGCGTCAGTGTCGCTGACTTTCTAGATCTCCTCCTTTTTTATCTGCGCTCTACATCAGTGGTGTACTGCGACCAGTTTTATATACAACGCAAGTGTGTATGCATAGGATCGTGCCTTGCGCCAGTCCTCAGCGATCTGCTGTTGGCCTACTATGACAGACTGCTCGAAATATCTCTCCAGGACTTCAAGGTGGCTAGAGTGTTCCGGTACGTCGATGATTTCTTGGTGCTGTTCCAAACCTCTGGAGCTGACACCCTCCGGCAAGTAAAAAAGATCTTTGAAATTTTCAAGTCGAACCTCCGCGTTTTCACTCTCACCAAGGAACTGACCGAAGACAATCAGTTGCGGTTCCTAGACCTGATCCTGGTGTTTGGAGCGGAGCACGTCTGTTGGAGGTATTCCCCTCGTTCGCAAAAGGCGCTCTTGCCGTTCTCGTCCGCTCACTCCAAGCTTGTGAAGCGAGGAATAGCGCTAGTGGCTATGAAAAATGCCACGCAAAGATCCTGCCATCACCAGGTTGAGAGAGGCTTCAACGCCCAAGTAGTTAGACTGCTGTCCGCAGGCTTCCCGCAACCTCTGCTGAGTAGCCTGGCAGAAAAGCTCCTTCTTGAGTCGCGTCGCTCCACTAGCAAGCCTCAAGATACACGCAAGAGATCTCCTTGGACAGTCATACCCTACATCCATGGCCTGTCCCACAACCTGAAAAGGGTTGGAGCCAAGGCAGGCGTTCAGGTACTTTTCTCTGCACCTAACAAACTGGGTCGTCTGTGCAAAAAAGTAAACTCTACCAACCCCTCTGCCACCTCCATCAGGCAATGCCAGAAAAGCCATGCAAATCCTTTCGTCGAGTGTGTCGAAGGCGTGGTGTACGACGTTCCGCTATCGTGCGGTCGGTCGTACGTTGGCCAGACCGGGCGGTGCATCAACGATCGTCTGAGAGAACACCGCGCCTCTTTGGGAACGACCACTGGCAGCAACCTAGCCAGGCATTGTGCAGCGTGTGCCTGCGTCCCAGCATTTGACAGATGCGAGATTATCAAACACCATAGAGACTGTCGCACGCGCGAGATCATCGAAGCGTTCTCCATCATTAAGAAAGACACAAGCGCAGTCAGCACGCCTTCCGTGACCCTGTTGAGGAAGGAAATCGCATATCTCGAGAGCACTTAATGAACCTTGCTTTTTCTAAAAAGGTATTTTCTTTTCTTCACTTTTGTTTTTGTTTTGCTTTTCCCTCATCTTTTAGTTATTTTCATTGCAAGTATTTTGTTTTAATCCTTATTTTCAGTTTATTTCTTCTTCCTTCGCTTCTTATTTCTTCTTCTTCCTTCGCTTCTGATTAAACAGTCAGTTGTAAGTCAGCGCTCGTGTTGTCCTGTCCTTTCTGTCCTATGTTCCGCGCTGTTCCATCTAGTCATGAACCAACTAGCCCATCAAAGCACACTGCTCACCTTCAATGTGGCGAACTTGTGCCAAAAATGAAAAGGTACAAAAGATAATAACAGAGCGTCGCGGGCGTCGAAGTCGGCGTAACAGCAGAGTCAAACACTGGGGCGAGCCTGACCCCGGTTCGCTACGCGAAGCCCCTTATGTACACGCGTGGGCTCCTGGAATAATCGGCATAGAAGGTTCGATGCGTAGAACATTCGGGCCTGGAACAGGCAACATGATTCTCGAATTTTCCAGAACACTAAATTGCAGGAATAAACAGAAGACACGTGGCTCCCAGGAATCGAACCCTACCTTTCCGCGTGGGAGACAAGCGCGATAACCATTAGGCCACGCGCGCGCTGCCTATTTGGCCATCTGCACACGCGGCATTACTGCCCCCTTTAAAAAGTGCATCGCCCCGATGCAGCGCGCGCGTGGGCATCCAAGACCGGATGCCCACGACCGGTTGGCTTGCTGGATGGAATCTGCGCCCGCGTGACCCTTGTAGACCCTTCCCGTATTATAGTTTGGTCGCTGACCTCATATTTAGATTAAGAGGCCAACCTCCTCCCCTTGTCATCTTTTTGTTTTCCGAAGCAGCGGTGAGGAACGCTGTCGTCGAAAAAAGACTCTCATCGATTCTATATCCTTGTTTTGCGTGATATTGTCACGAATGACAAGTGATGAGGCGACGAAAACTGAAGTAAACTAAAGGTTTAATAGGGCGAACTTGTGACCAAATTAATAAAAGAAAAAAGCAAACAGAAGAAAGCACGAGAGCAACCCGGGCGTCGATGTCGGCGAAACCGCAGGATCGAGGCTGGGGCGAGACTGAGTCCGGTTCGCCATGTGAAGCCCCTTATGTGCAGGCGTGAGCTTCTGGAATAATCGGCGTAGAATGTTCGACGCGTAGAACATTCGGACCTCTAACACGCAACAGGATTTTTGAAGTTATCAGAAAACTAAATTGCAAGAATAACATAAGATGCGTCGCTCCCAGGTATCGAACCCTGGCTTTTCGCGTGGGAGGCAGGCACGATAACCGTTAGGCCACGCGCGCGCTGCCCCTTTGGCCAGCTGCGCGCGCGTCATTACTCCCCCTTTTTGAAAAGTGCATCGCCCCGATTCAACACAGAACAAAACAAAGCAAATAAAAAAGCGGTAAACTAAAGAGTCATTTGGAACACATAACGTCCACAGTCCTATCGAGCGTATTACGGCTTCGGGCGCACGACTTGGGCGACTTCAGGTCGTGGTGGGCGGCGTGATGATGTTCTTGTTCCGTCGGGCATGACCTCGTAGTCCAGATCTCCAAGTCGACGAAGTACCTTGTAGGGTCCGAAATACCGTTTCAGGAGTTTCTCGCTGAGACCACGGCGGCGAATCGGTGTACAGACCCATACCCGGTCTCCGGGCTGAAAGTGGACGTCCCGACGACGAAGCTTGTACCGGGTAGCGTCGACACGTTGTTGATCTTCAATTCGGAGTCGGGCGAGCTGGCGAACTCCCTCGGCTCTTCGAGCAACCACTTGGGCGTCAGGGCTTCCATCGTAAGCTGGTTCGTGGGGTATCATAGCGTCAAGCATGGTCGTTACTTTCCTGCCATGCACCAGCTGAAAGGGGGCCACCCCGGTGGTCTCTTACACGGCCGTATTGTAGGCAAATGTGACGTACGGCAACACCTCGTCCCATGTCTTGTGCTCCACGTCGACGTACATGGAGATCATCTCGGCGATGGTCTTGTTGAGTCTTTCCGTCAGCCGTTGGTCTGCGGATGGTACGCCGTGGTGCGACGGTGGCTGGTGTGGCTGAGACGAAGGACTTTCTGTGTCAGTTGGGTCATGAACGAGGATCCATGGCCTGAGATCAAGACTTCGGGAGCTTCGTGCCGGAGGACAATGGACTCGATGAAAAACATGGCGACTTCAACAGCCGTTCCTGTTGGAAGGACTTTTGTCTCGGTGTACCGTGTAAGATAATTTGTTGCGACGACTATCCATCGGTTTCCTTGCGTTGATGGTGGGAATGGCCAAAGTAAGTCCATTCCGATTTGCTGGAACGGGGCAGATGGCGGCGCAATAAATTGAAGAAGTCCTGTCGGTCTCGTCGGTGGTTTTTTCCGTCGTTGGCACTCGTGGCAAGATCGAGTGTAGTGGTGCACTGTCTTCGCGATCTTGGGCCAGTAGTATTTTTCGCGCATCCTGGTAAGAATTCTGCTGTAGCCAAGGTGTCCCGCCGTCGGGTCATCGTGGCAGGCTTGCAAAAATTTCTTTTTGAAGACTGGAAGGGACTACCAACAGCCACGCCGTGTTTTTGTCGCTGAAGTTCTCATTGTAGAGCACACCTCGCCGGGGGGAAGGTTGGCCGTGTTCGTACAAAACTGCGGGGAATGGCGCTTTCTTGTCCACCTAGGTGCTCGATGAGTGCTCGCAGCTCAGGGTCGTCTCGTTGAAGTGCTGCCATGTCGCTGACATCCAGAGCGCCGACGAAACAGTCATCGTTGTCCTCTTTGGTGCAGGCAGGAGCGGCTTCAAATGGGGCCCTTGACAGGCAGTCGGCGTCATTGTGCCTCGGGCCGGACTTGTACACCATTGTCATGTCGAACCCATGCAGTCCTAGGCTCCACCGGGCGAGGCGTCCGGAGGGGTCTTTCAGAATCCCCAGCCAGCAGAGCGAGTGGTGGTCTGTGACCACGCGAAAAGGACTTCCATAAAAATATGGGCGAAACTTTGGTATTGCCCAGACGACAGCGAGGCACTCCTTTTCAGTAGTTGTATAGTTCCTCTCCGCGTTAGACAGCGTCCGACTTGCGTATGCGATGACTCGCTCTGTGCCGTCCTGCGTTTGGACTAGTACGGCACCCAGTCCGGTGTTACTGGCGTCGGTGTGGATCTCGGTTTCAGCAAACGGGTCGAAATGGCCAAGAATCGGGCGCGTCTGGAGTCTTCCTTTGAGCTCGTCAAATGACCTCTAGTGTTCTTCTGTCGACTCTAACTTTACGGCGTCCTTCGTGAGGTGTGTCAGCGGTGCGGGCAGCTTGGCGAAGTCTCGAACAAAGCGCCTGTAGTAGGCTCAGAGACCGAGAAATCTTCTCACGGCCTTCTTGTCAGTCGGCGGCGTAAATGCAGCTACGGCGCGGGTCATCTCGGGGTCAGTTAGAACGTCTTTGTTGTTCACGACGTGGCCAAGGAACTTTAGTTTCCCATAGGCGAACCGACACTTTGTTGGCTTGAGTGACAGGCCGGGGGTTTTGATGGCTTGAAGCACGGCTCGAAGTCGTCTGAGGTGTTCGTGGAAATCTCGTGAGAATATCACGACGTCGTCCAGGTACTCAAGGCAGCTCTGCCATTTCAGACCTGCCAGCACGGTGTCCATGACGCGCTGGAAGGTGGCTGGTGCTGTACAAAGTCCGAACGGGATCACTGTAAATTCGTACAGTCCGTCGGGAGTGACGAAGGCAGTTTTATCCCGGTCACGCTCGTCGACTTCAATCAGCCAGTAACGACTCTTCAGGTCCATCCACGAAAAATATCGGAAGTGGCGCAATCGGTCTAACGTGTCGTCGATGCGAGGAGCGAATAGACGTCCTTCGTCACAGCGTTCAGTCGACGATAGCCCACACAGAACCGCAGGGTTTCGTCCTTCTTCTTTACAAGTACGACCGAGGACGTCCATGGACTTCTTGAGGATTGAATGGTGTTGTCGTCGAGCATCTCCTGTACTTGTTCTTGAATCACTTTTCTTTCCTTTAAGGAGACTCGATACGGCGACTGGTGGACAGGGCGTGCGTCGTCGTCGGTAATAATGCGATGAATGTTTCGCCATTAGTGTTTGGCGAACTTTCGATGTCGTGCAAAACAGTCACTGTATTCGGCGAGGAGATCAACCAGTTGCCGCCGCTTCGAAGCTGAAAGCTCGGGGTCGATATCGAGTGGCGGCGGTGTCGTGCTCTTCTTCTGTGGCGACGAGGTTGCTTTGGAGATTCCGGCGATCACGACTGGCGCCTGAAGCTCCTCTACGTGGCCCACGGTGGTACTTTTCGTTAGGTGCTGCTGCTCCTCTCGAAAGTTGGTCACAAGAACAGCTGTACGTCCTTCTTGGATATCCGTTACGCCTCGTGCGACACCAATTCCTTGTTCGAGGAGCAGTTGGACGCTGCCTTCCAGAAGAGCTTCATCGTGCATGGCTGCGTCGGTTATGACGGTGACAAAAACGCTCGACCGTGGCGGTAAGTTCACATGGTCGGCGATAACTCGGATAGCAGACGACGTCGTGTTTGTCTCCGCCGGCGGCAGGACAGGCTGTCGCAGCGTCAAATGATTTGCCGTGAGGTCGTTGACGGCGCCATACTCGCAGAAAAAGTCCACTCCGAGGAAAACGTCCCTCGAACAGTCTTGCAGAACGACGAACTTCAAAAAAACACGTCTAACCGTGGATCTCGACGCGAGCAGTGCATCTCCCGACTGGTGTAATGAGGTGCCCTCCGGCGGTTCGTATTTGAGGTCCATCCCACGGCGTCGTGACTTTTTGAAGGCGGCGGGAGAGCCTCCCACTCAAGACTGAGTATTCTGCTCCGGTGTCTACGAGTGCTGATGCGTCGTGGCCGTCGATGATGACGTTTAAGTTGTTGGACACCGTTGCAGGAGCG